CACAGGGGTCATTGAGTCAGTTCCAACTTAAAGCAATCCTGTGTCCCACAGAAGGAAACTGCCCCGCCCTGCGCCATCCTCATGCCATTAGGTTGAAGCCCATTGTTGCAGCCACCGTGTGGAGGGTGGTCTTCTTAGCCGACCTTCTACGGACCAGACGTGATGTCCTTCTCCGAGGACTGCTCCCTTCTGATAACATGCCCCAAGTCTATCATCCTTGCTTTTAAGGAACATCCCGGCCGCACTCCTTCTGGGATAGGTTTGCTAGTCCTCCTGGCAGCACGTGGCTTAGTGAGTCTGCGTGGCCAACGCCACCATCCAAATGCCCCGTGCTTGTGTGGTCGTCCTGAGTCCCTGTCCAGCTTTCACGTGCACACGAGGTGACTGAAATACTGGGGCTTGGGTCAGGCTCACCTTCGTCCTTAACATGACCTCTGTGCTCTGTAGCACTTTAAAGAGGCCTCTCGAGGCAGGTTTGTCCAGTGCCCTATATGCAGTGCAAGGGTGCGTACGCGGTGTTGCCTATGAGTACATGGACACTCGGACCCGGGATTGCGGGGCAGAAATCAATCAGAAGTCCCAGGCATCCCACCTCCCTGGACACGCTTTTCCCCTATCACATCTTTCCGTGCCTGAGCCCCAGAGGAAGCTCATTTGCAACGCCGTCTCCTCCCTGGGGACCGACTTACGGAGGGCTTTTCATTACACCCACACTTCTGCCCCACTGAAACAAAACTGGCCTTCATCGGCCCACTAAACAAAGCCCCCGAGCTTAGGAAGATAAAACCCTAAGTTGACCCTGGCTGGCCCTGAGGATGCAGTCATGCCCAGCGGGTGCACTTAACCAGGCGTCCCATGTGAAGTTCTAAAGAACAGGTCTCAAACACTTACATGTGAGCCAGACTAAGCAGGGAGAGAAGCCCAGGTGAGGGGACTTGCAAAATGTTCCTTTCTGTGGGCCCGCTTTTTTAATTTCATGTTCCATTATATGGGATAATAGCATCGGTCTTGCAATTTTAATGTGGTGTCCCAGACCATAATATCCAAATACAATATTTATGCAGTAATCTCTGAAATGAAATATTCATGGGGCTGGGAGATTGGCTGCTGTATTTACTGCATCCTAAAACTGATGAGCTGCAAACGCGTTCTCTGGTTAATTATCAGGACACAGAGACAATCAAGTCCTTGAGTCGTAGCAAAAAGTTCTTGAGCTGAGAGAGGTGACTGGGAACTTGGGTCTGCTTGGAAGGGAGGTGGCAGAAACCCAGGGTCTGTGCTTATTGTGGGTGTTGGCCAGCGTGAAGGGAGGAATCACCACCTGGGCAAGGGCTTGGTCCTTACAGCCCTGTGCCCTGATGGAAAGGTGGCACTTCAAACCCACAAGCTACTCCTTGGGAGAAAGACGGAGCTGGCTGCTTCCACACAGACAACAACCTCAGACGTCCAATGGGGCAGTTCTCTGTCCTGCAGAGCCACCAGGTGCTGGAATCGATGCAATGG